CACATTTTGTCTATGTAAAAAAACAATTGTACCATAATATATCAACAGGCTATCTTACTCTGACTCTGGTCTCTACATGTAGTCTTTAAAATAGATGTGGGCAACTTACGGTTCTCCAGTGCTGCACTGCAATTTACATTAGCCCTTTCTAGATAATCAGTGATGAGAGGTGATGTTGGTGTGATCTGCCAACATCTAGAGGGTCTTAAGTGTCTCTCTCCTACTATGGAGAGTTAGTGCAACAATACAGATAGCTTGTAGAATATATCTCTTCCTGTAATTTTCAGAGAGATTCCCATTAATTTCTGTGGGTATGAACCAACTGTGGTTGGTTATTCTAGTTTTTAATTTTTGCATCAAAGTAATCACAGAAAATATAAAATTGGATCTAAACGACTCCCAGGAAGCTGCTGTTAATTCCATAGGGAAAAGACTGATATTTTGTCTTCCATCCACCTTTGTAGGACCAGCAGAAGGTCCACTAAAACGATTTTGCAAAAGAGACAAATGCAGTATCCTGTGGCTGCCTTAAAGTGAAAGAAATTTCCCAGTTGTTATATACTGTACATCACTTCATTATTCTGCTCCTCATGAAGGAACACATTTCCCAAAATACATTGGGCATTTAAATAAATATAGGCACTCTGAGAGCCTTCATTTCTCATCTGGCTCTGTTTATTTTGTTTCCAGTGGCTGCCACCCTTTGTTACTCTTTAAAATGAAAGCCAACCCTGTCACAGCCCCCTTCTATAACAGATCTTCGTGGTCTCTGTGAATGCATACTAATGGGTTAATCTGCGCCTGAGCAGAGGTTTCCGGAATCTTCTAGAGCTTAAAACCCGTTCACCAGGACCGCCCCCCTAGTGCACGTAGTCTGCCCGTCCTGGCTAGTGCCTCAATTCCTTTTTGCCGCCGCTGAGGTTTCTACTCTCAGATGAGCTGAGTTCGCCTCCTTCATTGAAAAAGGAATTTGCCTCCACCTTCAGGCCAACAACCCTCGCCTCTCTTGGCTCAGTCCCCCTCATGGGCTAATACCTCGGCTGAGGTTATGGTACTGCCTCATTATGACCACTCAAGCCCTCCAGGTTGCTCTGTCTCTGAGTGTCAGTCGGATTCAGCTTCCATCGCTGATTCTCAACCTCTGCGCAAGTGGACTCGAAAGGCACAGCATACACCAGAGACTGGTCCTACTGATGTCGACGCTCCACTTCCACAGATGTTGACAGGATTACTTGCATCGCATGATTGTCTTTCATGGTATCGTCATCCCAAGAGGATTACCCTCAATGAGGACCTGTGTATTATGAGCTCCCGCCACAGCGATACTGACACAATTGATACTGGTACTGGCGTCCCAATATGGAGGTCTATATGGGGTTGCTCTGTCTCTGAGTGTCAGTCGGATTCAGCTTCCATTGCTGATTCGCAACCTCTGCGCAAGTGGACTCGAAAGGCACAGCATACACCAGAGACTGGTCCTACTGATGTCGACGCTTCACCTCCACAGACGTTGACAAGATTATTTGCATCGCATGATTGGCTTTCATGGTATCGTCATCCCAAGATGGTTACCCTCAATGAGCCACCTGTGTATTATGAGCTCCCGCCACAGCAATACTGACACCATTGATACTGGTACAGGCGTCCCAATATGGAGGTCTATATGGAGCCTAAGCACCCTTAATACTCCTACTACTATTCCGATTCTGGCTCTGAATCTCCTCTTCTATACCAGCTGCAATACCAGGATCAGTCTTCCTCAGTAGAGGACTCCTTGATACCGGTACCGATACAGAGAGTTCAGCATACCTCCTCGCATCCCTCTTCTACCACACCGCTACCGAAACGTCCAATATACTTTTTGTTTCTCTGCACTTACCACACAGAGGGTGCCTGATCCCCTCCCAAACCATCTCTTAGTGGCTTGTATCAACCGTTTGCCTGGCATATCAGCTGGCTAAGCTGTATCTTCCAGTTTGAATTAAGGCTCATTCTACAAGGGCAGTGGTTAGTTCTGCAGCATTCCTCAGAGGCGTTTCTGTCCCTGATATCTGCAGGGCTGCTACATGGTCCACGCCATTCACCTTTGCCTCTCATTGCCGCTTGGACCTCCGAGCTAAGTCAGATGCTACATTTGGATGAGCGGTCCTGTCATCTGTTCTTCCATGACATCCCTCTTCCGGTCAGGTAAGCTTGTTAATCACCCATTAGTGTGCATTCCCAGAGACTACGAAGAAGATAGGTTACTTACCTGTAACTCTGGTTCTTCGAGTGGTCATCTGTGAATTCACACTTCCCGCCCGTCCTCCCCTCTTCCGTCACGTTTGTTTCATTGTATTCAGCGACGAGCAGTTTGAGAACTGAGGTGCTAGCCAGGATGGGCGGACCACGTGCACTAGGGGGGCGGTCCTGGCGAACAAGTGTGAAGCTCTAGAAGATTCCGGAAACCTCTGCATAGCCGGAAACCTCTGCATTAGTGTGAATTCACAGATGACCACTCGAAGAACCAGAGTTACAGGTGAGTAACCTCTCTATCTGGCTCACTGTAGAGAGACAGAAGATGCATTTTCAGAGAAAAGTCTATATTACAATTTCACTATTGAAATGAGTGGGGCAACTGTTCAGGAATATTTGAAACATATTATAGACTATAGTGATATACTTTGAGGAGACCATCCAGTTGTTCCCCAGTTGATCATAAGAACTTTTGATTTGTTCCTTGGGGGGAAAAGTGAAAAATTGTCTTTATTAATGACTTGGAAATTATCTTACTTTCAGGTGTCAATCATGGGTCTTGATTTAAAATAACTTATGCAGTCTTTGGTCATCTCATTGTTTCTAAATGAAATTGTATCCATCTACTTGAAATTACTAGATAGTCGGTTTTTTTATCTTACCATCACTTGCACCAAGTCTTACAGTGGGACTAGTTATACCTGCCTTCTTTGTTCCTTGCACAATTAATGTCGCATCTGCCTCTTTCCCACACCCACTACCTGTTTCCCTGAAAATAAGACCTAACCTGAAAATAAGACCTAGTATCATTTTTTCAGGATGCTCTTAATATAAGCCGTACCCCAAAAATAAGCCCTAGTTAAATGAAAGCCTGTCTTCCACCATTGTGCAACAATCAGAAGAAGATGACATGACTGTATTTTAATAATCGTAGATTATACATGAAAAAAATTAAGCATCCCCTGAAAATAAGCCCCAATGCATTTTTTGGAGCAAAAATTAATATAAGACCCTGTCTTATTTTCGGGGAAACACAGTACCTGTATGTTCACTTTCACTGAGCACCTTAATTGACCTATGTTTCTGCTTACAGTCTCTGCTTACATACTGTCTTGTCTAGATCACAATGCCTGTGCAGATCCTTTCCTTATACCACCAAAATGGTATTCCCAAAATGACCACACTTCTCCTTTTCTTCACACCAATCTGCATCACCACTTCCAAAATGAGAAATTTGACCTACAAGATTATTGGGTAACCTCACCCAATCTTTGAAATGTTGTGCTACTTACCTTGTACCTAGTGGGTTTGATGATGTGCAGTACCATTCATCATATTTTTTGCAAGGCATGTACCTGCCAGATAGTGTTTGGCTAGGAGTCTGCAAATAATTGCCCTATATAAAATCAAGTTTGTCAGTAAAATCTCCTCTTACTGCCTAGGTTTTAATGACTAACAAATGATGACTTATTCTGATGTTTCACAGTAAGAATCCTCCTCTTTTTACCCCCTATAGCACACTATTATGGGAAGCGTAGAAATAAAAGGATTGGCCGACCCCCAGGTATCCACAGCAACCCAGAGGCAAGCATGAAGAAGGCAAGCAGGAAGAGAAAGAAACGAAAAAACTTCTTTGTTCACAAGAAGAAACGATCTTCTACCTCAGTGGATAACACACCAGCTGGCTCACCCCAAGTAGGCCACCATAAGAGATGTATTTAATATGAGTAGACTGGACAGGTGTTAAATAAAATTACAGTAGAATGTATGTTTTTACCCAAACATTGACACTACCGTGAGTGTACTCATCTCCCTTTTCTCCTTTCAGGGGAGTGGGGGTGAAGAGGAGGATGACCAAGATGACGGGGATGAAGAATCTCTTACAGAAGATAGTACTTCTGAGCACCAGGAAGAACTGCTTGAGGAGTCAGAATTGTCAGAGAAGAAATCTCGGTCATCCTCCCCTACACAGAGTGAGCAGTCTCATACTGGCACGCAGGATAGGGACAAACGGAAAAGAAGACTACGTACCTTTTCCTTCTCGGATGATGAAAATAAACCTCCTTCACCAAAGGTATGTCTTGAATTTGAGAAACAAAACACAAAATTAAAAAAACATAGAAAAAACCCACATCTCTGTGATGAGCGTGTGTGTGTGTCTGTGCATGCATTTATATTACTCGAATGTACAGTGGTGCCCCGCATAGCGACGCTAATCCGTTCCGAATTAATTGTCTCTATGCAAAAACATCGCTAAACGGATCAAAAAACCCCATAGGAACGCATTAAACTTTGTTTAATGTGTTCCTATGGGGCCCCAAACTCACAGTTCAGCAAAGTTCCTCCATAGCGCCGCCATTTTCGCGCCCTCGGTAAGCGAGGGCAGGGTGCGAAAATGGTTGCAGCGGCCATTTTGGAACTGCCGATCAGCTGTTTAAAAAAACATCGCAATGTGAAGATTGGTAAGCGAAACGCTTAACGTTCATCACAATGCGATGTTTTGCCATTGAAAACATCACAATGCGATCGCATTAGCAATCTGAAAAAACAGATCGCTATGCGGATTCGTCGTTAAACGGTGCGCTCGTTAAGCGAGGCACCATTGTATTAAAATATTTTTTTAAAGTATATGTAGCTACACAGAGACAATGTGAGAGAAACATAACTACAAATCAGTATAACAGTTAACATAGCAGAACAGGCCCCCGATAATTAAAGTTATTTTTGGGGGGGATATCCTGAGAAACAGAATAATCCTACATTTTCTAGCACTGTCATTATTGTCATCATATTCTGTTCCTGTCCTTAAACGTGTTCATTCAGGAGAGAAAAGTATATACACATTTGTATTCCTCGCTGGCTTCTTCCAGCAGTGATGACAGGAAATTCTCTAGAAAGTTGTCTTATGCCTGCATATTGCCTTCAGTTTATGTGTTTTGGCAGTATCTTATTATTCCTGCTGCTGCAGAGCTCGGCATCTTGGGGTTGTCAGATAATGTATTTGGAATTAAACATTTTGCTTCTGAATACCCCCTTAAACAATTTACTGTATGTAGTTGAGGAGTTTATGTTATTTGAAGCTAGCCTTGTTTGCAGTAAACAAATACTTTTACAGGTTTTTAAGAAAACTAAGATTCTAGTGTACTATCAATGCACTCAATTTTTTTTCTAAATTCTGTGTAAATTTCCTGCAAACAGCATGTTGAATAGTCATCCGTCATAAGATTTGCACATCCGAATGCCGTGTATCTTCAAGTGGACATTGTTTTTTCTGTGGAAAATGTTTTCTAATTTTGGTAGTCTTCGGTTCTCAGACATGGTTGTCAGAATAAAAGTGATATGTTTGCTTTTCATTAGAAATAAATTGGCACTATGTATGAGTAGCAGAGACAACAAAGACTTTATGGTACTTTATCAAATATCAAGCAGAATGAAACTGAGAAAGCACCTGTAGTGTTCCTGAGGAACTTGGAAAAGTCCTTAATCTAACACCTAAATGGGACCACTAGCACTGACAAATTAAACAGCTTTCTGTTTTTTCCATCTTCACCTGCTAAAATTTCCAACAAATTTGGATGCCAGTACGTGTAGATTAAAGTGCAATATGACACCTCAAGAAAAGGAGCATCACATCAGTTTTCTGGACTTTGTGGCAATGTTCAAAGCAGTGAGAGCATTCGAAAACATAATAGCTGGCAAAGTTATCCAAATAGCAATGAACAATACAGCAGCCATGTACTATGTAATCAAGCAGGGAGGAATAAAATCAGAGAGTCTTCTCTGCCTGTCAGCACAACATGGTGCATTCTGAAACACATTTTTCCAATAGTGATTCACATCATGAGAGATGACAATCAAGTAGTAGACTCATTGAGCAGAGCACTAACACAGATGAATGAGTGGGAGCTGTCTTAGCAAGTTTATGCAGTATTTGTAAACAGATGAGGAGTGCCAGAAATAGATGTGTTCTCTTCTTATAACAACAGGAAATGCAAAATGTTGGGTTTTTTGCTGGCAAACTAAGGCAAAGATTCTCTAGGAAATGCATTCATGTCTCTTAGAATGGGTATCTGATGTATACATTTCCCCCGTTTCCGATGATTCACTGTGCAGTAGTAAAGATCATACAAGACAATTCAGGTGTGATTTTGATAATTCTATGATGGCCACATCAACCTTGGTTCAGCACTCTGTTGCTGATGGCGGAGGACAGGGTGAAGTTATTACTGGACGACAATCTTCTAATATGTCAGAAGGGATCAATACAATGCCTGGATATAGGTAAACTGAAATTGACTGTGTGGAGTATAATTCACCAATAAAACTCATTTTGCACAAGCAAGAAAACCATTTACTAAACAACTATGTGAATACAAGCAATATTTCTGTCAGCCCTGTGCACTCACAGTGCTGCATCAATCCTGAACAGCCAGATTGATGTTCTCACCCACTTGCTTCTGGTTGCGGGCAGAACCCTGTACATGAGGGGTTGCAGAGCCCTGTACAGTGCTAGCAGAAATTGGAGAGAATGTTGAATACAAGTGAAAAAATTTACAGAATATGCATCTTCAGTGAGTAAAAATAATACTCCAGTTCTAGCTAGTTGTCTATATGTCTAATGTATCATTTCTTGCATGCCTGGTTCTTCATGTAGCATCATAGCACCCAGAAATGCAAGACCAGTAGCAACGAGTATGCACACACCAAAGTATGGTGAAGGATTTCACAACTTGAGGGGGAAGATTATACACTTTTCACCTTTTATAGTGAGGGTGGGGTGGCATTAAGATGACAGAAATGAAATGTTTGTTAATGTTATATGCAGAAACTGGTATGCCTTATGTCACATATGCATTTAATTTTAGATTGTGCATAACATCACTGGCCTATAGGGTTTTTTAAGCTGATATGGAAAAATCTGGCACTGGAAATTCAAGATGCCTAAATCTATAGCTTTCCTCAGGAGTACGCCAACTTGTATAAAATTCCATTAGTAGGGACATATCAGAAAAGCAGATATTCCTGAGCACTGTAAATGTAATATTCTTGTTTTGTGTTGTTGTGTTTTATGGGATAGGAAATAAAAATAGAAGTTGGCGAAAAGCTGCAGCTGGACAGCAACCCTCTGGAATGGAGTGTAGCTGATGTTGTGCGGTTCCTCAAATCTACAGACTGTGCACCATTAGCTAGGATATTTTTGGATCAGGTATTGTATTGTTTTATTATTAACCATTGCTGCTTGACCACATGAAACCAATATTCATCTGGTGTAAGAATCTTTGTTCCAATAATTTTTTTTCTCAATAAACCATTAAAGCTTTTTGGATTCCCAGATTTGTAGTTGTGTCAGGGTATTTTCTAGTTTGATTTGCTAGCTTTCAGTCACCACATACATTTATTGCTCTTCAGTGCATTTTGAATTGATTTCTCATTAATGTTGACTTGTGTTCTGTCTTTTGTGTCTCATGATAGGAAATAGATGGACAGGCACTTCTCCTGCTCACTCTTCCTACTGTTCAGGAGTGTATGGACTTGAAACTTGGCCCAGCCATAAAACTTTGCCATCACATTGAAAGAGTGAAATTTGCCTTCTACCAGCAGTTTGCTAACTAAAGTGGAGGAAGCAATCAAATGAGATCAAATTGTTGAAGCACAACTGCAGCATCCTGCTCTTCCTTCATTTGGGAGAGTCAAGGAGAATTGGACGAAAACTGCATTTGCAGTCTTGCACTTTTGAAGAAAGGAAAAAAAAAGAAGTACTTGGAGCAAAACAACAATGCAGTCTGAGCTATTTTCACAATTGTTTATTGGTTTAGGACTGTAATACAAACTCATTCAGTACGCCAAGATTTTTTAGTGAATAAAGTTGGTTGAAATCTGACCTTTGAGGGGAGAAGACTTTCCTATAGTTTTAGTCAAGAAGAACAAACTGACAACATGTGGATGGGAGCTCTCCTGACCATTTGCAGACCTATCCCACTGTTTTTGTCGTAAAGATCTTTTGGAAAAATAAAACTAGCTGATTGCCAAGATATGTGATGTGGCCAAGAGCTTGAAAGTGCAGCCAGATTTTGTTTGTGATCTTTATTTTGGAGCTTGCTCTCTACCTCTACAATCTGGAAAAGCTACAAGGGAAGTAGAATTTGTCACAGATGGTCATATATGTGGTTATGCAACTGTTTTGCTGCAGTCATAATAAGGATGGCAACTTTTTCTTCTTCAGATAGAGGCTCTGAGCCATTGGTGGCTACCCAACCGTCACAAATTCAACTGGTAGAGCCTCATAGTCATGGAGAGGTAGTGACAGTGAATGTTGTGCCTGCTGGAATTCCTGCTGTCATGTCCGTGGTAAAAGCACAGAGGGGAAAATAGGAGAATTGTGGAGCAGAAGTGTGAATATTAGCCTATGTTTTACAGATAAGCTGCAATTTAATTTATTATTATTTTTTACAGCAAGATGCACAGAAATATTGACACTTTAATATAATTTTTTCAGTTTGAAAAGATGTTAGTGAAATTGCATGTTACATTTGGAGTAGAAATGACATGTTAGGTCATTTCTCTTGTTCATGTTTCTTGGAAAGTTGACTTCGGAACTATAGAGGAAAAAATATTAATAACTTAGCACTCCTACCAATTCTCAGATATTAAGAACGTTCCCAGCTAATTGTAGTTGTTTGTAAATGCATGGATGAAATGTCCTCTTCCCTTTTCTGGCTAAAAAATATAATAGTACATGAATTGTAAAGTCCCTTTGTGGCATAGTTCATGTGGCATATATCGCCTGTTTGTATACATTAGGAGATGGAGGTCTGTGCTTCTCCACATGGCCTTGTGACTTCATGCAGAAGACTCTCCTGTGTTGAAGTTAAGGCTGGCAAATGCTCACATGCCCTCTAGTGCTTATCTATGGAGCAGCTTCCCACAACCACAACAAGTAACTGTTGGTGCATAATGCTGAAGAATGACTAAGTTTTGGTTTCTGCAGAGTAAGTCCAGACTCATTTGGAATTAATCATGCACCCAGGAACCACTTGTATCTCTGTCCATGATATATGTGCATTTAATTTGAAATGTACCTGGTCACGTCAGGCTGTGAATGTTTGGTATTCACAGGTTGAAACACTATTTTCTTTCTGGGAAATCATGTCCCAGATTATATAAAAAAGTTGTTTAAGAGAGTGTATAGTACAATATCTTGAAAAAAATTCATAACCTTCCTAGGTACTATATGTGACCTTGGGATATGGATGCAGGGAATAAGTGTCCAGACCTTTCATCCTTCAGATTTCAACCAAGACAAGATTTGTACATAAAATGTTCAGAGAACATTTCTGAATGTTCTTTTCAACATTTCAGTGAAGATTTCTGAATATCAGTGAACAAGTTTGCAAGTATCTTATATCTTGAAACTAGTACAATCCTGCCATTTTTATTTATGAAAAATATGTACCTGCCTGGAGAAGTGTAAATGCATCTCTGGCATCAGAATGTTAATTAGTTTTCTTTCAGCATCCATCCTCAGTGTTATCTTTTTAAGCACACACGTGTTGGATGCATTCTGGGGGGAAAAACTGAAATAGAATTTTAAGGACATTGTACATCATTGTACATACAAACGTATCTACGATTTTCAGGATTTTTAAAGCAGAACTTTCATACTTCATATATTGCTATAAATAAGCTATGTTTTGATGCCAGTGGTTAGCTGCAGGTTATCGGGGATACATTCATAGACTGATATTCCTATTCCACTTAAGGATTCTGTTCTCCATGTGATCCATTTATGGGCTTTTAAAAAGAAATATGCTTTCCACTGTTTGTTATTTTTAGTGAGTCATTTCTATGCAACACACGGGTACTTGCATATACATTTCTTGAAGCAATTTAAGCATGTCTTTTGGGCTGGACTTTAAAGGATTTGCCTTGTTCTACAAAGCATTCATTCCCTAAGTGGTTCTGGAACATTCTTTGGCTTCAGTAAAATATAACTTCATCTACAAACCCTTCATCAACTTCCATTTATTCCTTAAATGGGTCAGTTGGAGTCTTCTCTGACTTAATACTGATACGACATTCAAAGACTATTGTAGTGCAGTGGAGGAGAGTCTGCAGAGTAAGATAAGATTGTATGTCTCTACTGTGCCAATGATACACTAGTTAGGAGAAATTGTGTGCACCCCACAGGCCTTAAGGTCTGTTTTATAGCTTCCCCAGAGGAGAGAGTATAAAAAAATAAACATAATTTCTCAAATCTCTGGGAGTTGTTATACAAAAACTACATGAAAAAATAAATGGTAGGACCATAAAGGACAGTTTTCCCGTAATTTGCTTTTGGGAACATTTCACAAAGCTATAGGGATAGGAAGAGGTTAAACACTTTATTTTTCCTACATGAAAAAAGAGTAACCCTCTGTTGAAGTGGCACAGATGGCAAATGAATTGGGAAATAGCCCTTGTCTAATTTTTCTGAGTACCCCTACCATTTTCATAATGCTAGAAATTTGCAGGAACGTTGTGGGAATCCGGTGATGTGTAAGGCTTGTGCCAGACTCTGACTTTGAAGGAGACAAGCTATAGGGAAAGCAGTTAACTTTCTTCATCATCCCTGTGCCTGACATGCACAAGAATGATGAACCTTGTTAGGACAGTGGAAGCCTTATCCTTCCTGTTCTCTCTCTCTCTCTTTTTTTCCAAAGAAGGTTGAGTTAGTCCAATACTAATCTGATGACAGTGTAGTAATAGATTACTGAACTGAATACACTTTGCGTAACCTGACAGATTTATCGTAATGTCTAATTAGCCAAAGTTTAATTTGTTCAAAGATACGGAGTTGGACATGAGAAGTAGAGGCTCTCGTGAATACGCCAAATTATGAAGTTTAAAACCAGGATAGGCAAAGCATAGGTTTGCCTCAGCCACTTGGTTTCTTTCTGTGCAGATTGTGAAGCTTTATGAATTTAACATGAAACATGTTGCCAAAAGTCATTTTACCATGTAACATAAATACAATGTTTTAAATTAAGCTTTTTTGATGCAATTTTCAGCTTTGCCTAAGATTGTTGCCTATGGTGAAACTTTGCAAAATACCCAAGATTTGCTAAACACAAAGAGATTGCCCAGAAACCATATGAACACAAAATAAGGACAGAATTGATTTTGAATGCAAAACAATTGTTCTAAACCTCATTTAATTGCAGTGGTGTTTTCTGCAAGTACGGAAAGCCAGCCTCTTGTTGGCCAGATGTCATAGATGGGTTATAACAAATATCAAATGTGAGTTGCTTTTAATATCTGTTTGAAAAATTATTATAATTGGACAGACATAGTTCAATAGATGTTACATATTAGTTAATTGCTTCCCAGAAGCTGGATATAATCCTTACACTATAGTCTAATTTAGTATTCCTTAAAAGAGTACAGTCAAACACCAATAGCAAGGACCTGAATCTCTAACCTTGTAATGCAACAAGTTGTTTCTTTGGGAGTTAAAAGGAACCACAAGGTTCCACTGTCTTTCTTTAATAAGACTCCAGGCTGTATGAGGAAGGAGTCATCAACCATTTGGAACTTGAAGTGTAAGGTAGAAGTGGTTTAAACAGTTGGTTTTTGTGAAATACTTATTCCTTCCATTTTAACTCCTGATAAGCCTTAGTATCTTGGAGGCTTCATGTTGGTCAGCTTCTTAGCTATTACCATGTTCCCCCAGCATTATGTGCACATTTCCCATCATCTGAAAATGTTCTGTTGAAGTTTATAGACAATCAGAAATTCTTGAACCTGTGAGGGCAACTTATATGTAGATCTGTTTGTTGTAATAGCTGGACATGCACTTTTCCTGCTTTGTTCTTGGGGAAAAAAGAATTTGAAAGATGTATATTGTGTTGTCCCTCCTGCTTGCTGTATTATTATTTTTTATTTTAATTAATATATAAATGAGGATAAAATTCAGAAGTCAAGAAATATGCACATGAGAATGTCTTTCAAAGTTCTCCTTTGCTTGATCGATGCATCAGTTAAAGGGTTTTAAAATATTTGAAATGGATTATTTTGCTTGATTTCCCCCTTGTAAATTAATGTACATAATTTTGTGGTACATGACCGTTTTATGTGGCTGTAAGAAAATAAAAAATTATTTAAATTGGTGCTGGTTTCCATCATGTAAATAACTTGAAATGGGTGTGCTCCAATCCCCATTTTACGTCCTTGGAGTAATAGTGAAGCGGGTTTCTTAAAATATAAGAAGCACTTGAAGGTCCACAGAGGCAAAGGTGAATGTCAAGGTATTTGGCAATTGGACTTCAGAAGTTGTTATCATACACATGCAAATTATTTGATATATTTGCCTAGTGCCTTCAGGGAAAATGGCTTTTTCAGCCTGTTTTCCCTAGAAACATTCCTTGTTTTAATGTATTCCCAAAGGCTTTCATGGCCAGGATCCAATGGTTGTTGTAGGTTTTTCATGCTGTTTGGCTGTGTTCTGGAGGTTTTTCTTCCTAACGTTTTGCCAGTCTCTGTGGCTGGCATCTTCAGAGGACAGGAGTTAGAAGATGCCGGCCACAGAGACTGGTGAAACATTAGGAAGAAAAACCTCCAGGACACGGCCAAACAACCCAAAAAACCTACAACAACCATTCTTTGTTTTGTTTTTAAACATTTTTGAGTACAACTGTTTTTCCCTCTGTCAATGCCCCCTTTGCATTCAGTTTGAGCTATGGAAATATCTAAACTTTTAGCTTATAAATACAGATAAATCAGTAGTGCTTTAAACATTTAAAAAACTAATACTGTTATTGTGAACATACACACTTTAGCTGATACAACTCTAAGTAATGCTACACATTAAAGCAGTGCCAGACTCAGAATTAGCTGGTGTTGCCCACATACAGTAAAATAATGTTTGTGCTTCTTGTACAACTAAGGCTGCAGTCTTATGTACACCTCCATGTGCTGCAGCAATGTCCATCTGAACATACGGCTTAACCACAACTTAGTACTGTCCCCAGTCATTCCTCTAGTCCATTCTGGTATTTTTATTGCTGCTGCAAATTTGAATAGATCATTCTGCTGTTGGCATCCACACATGGGATCAGTACTTGTTTCTGAATGTATTGGGATGTACTGTGTTGTCTTGGTTTTGCCTCTCTTTTTCTCTCTTCCCTTCTCTTATTTTACCTGTCCACTGTTCTCAAACCTTGATATACCCGTAAGGAAACCTCAGATAACATACACCCAAAAATGTGTGTGGATCAGTATACAACTGTAGCGAACAGCCCTGCCCTCACCTGTCTGTCACAGTAGAACATTGAAGAAGGAGCCAATGAGGGGACGGAAGGCGGAGCCAAAGGGGGAGGGAGCTGGATATAAAGACTGGTGGATGGAGTCTAGGAGAGATGCTGTGAGTGAGAGACTATGTTCAGAGGGTTATATTCCATTGTGCTTTAAATCTGGCTAAACTACAGCTTTGAACATGAATAAGAAAATGCTTTTGCACTGATGTTCAGACACTTTGCAGTAATGTATCTTGTGCTGGTATTGCATGTTGAAAATTGCTGGTACAATTCTGGAGGAAACTGGTGTTTGCGTATACATGGCTGCCTCTGTAGTTTGTGTGTTCTGTTCTAATTTTCTTTCCCAGGAGAATTAAACATACCCCGCATCTATCCAAAATTCATTTATGTGATCAAAGATACAGGACCCCTTACCAAACTATTTAAGTGCCCTACAGTACCTAACTGATTTGTTAATGTATACTAGTATTTTATTTCACAGATCCTGAAGCTGAGGCTCCAATACTTTGGCCAACTCCCTGGAAAAGACCCTGATGTTGGGAAAGTGTGAAGGCAAGAGAAGAAGGGGATGAGAGAGGATGAGATAGATGGATAGGGTCACTGAAGCTACCAACATGAATTTGACCAAACTTCAGGAGGCAGTGGAAGACAGGCGGGCTGGGTAAACATGGGGTCATGAAGAGTCGGACACGACTAAACAACTAAACAACAACTTTATTTCAATAGTGCAAAGTCTCTATGAAGTTGCAGAAGAAGGCTTTGTGTCCTTTTGGGGAGAAAAGTGGGATAGAACCATTATGAATGATGGAATAAAATCTAAATATATTCATAATTTTCAAGGCGCACACTGGCTGAAATTGGACTGGTTAGGGTAGTAATTCACAACTTAGAGTAGGCTCCTTGAATCATGGGGATCTGATGAGTCAACTTGTCTTTAAGTTCAATTGATTCAATGGGTCTACTTAAATTGTGATTATTACACCAAGCATCAGGATTTATGGCACTAAATGTCGTGATTGTGTGTTGAAATTATACCTTTTTTAAAATGTTGCCTCTCTCCCAGTTATTTCTTTAGTTGTGTATGGTTGGCGTGCTGGGAGTCATAATTTAGACACAAAGACACTGGATTGATTTCCAATGTGCTAATACAGAAATGGCCCAGCAGAAATTTATCTTCCGGTATGTAACAGGATGAATATCGGCTCTTATTTATATGCCTTCATTTTACGACTCAACACAACAGATGTTTCATCATCAGATACAGCGCACAGATCAATGCAATGTGGTTAACTATCCCCAGTTCTCATTTATAGCTATATTTCAGTGTGAGAAAAAGTTGTTTGCAAACACAAATTAGACTGGGATGGAGCCTCTTTCAAAGTATGGAACAGATCATTTTAATTGAACTAGCATTTACATAAAAACTATTTTATTTTTGCTCAATAAATAAATAATAAATGAACTAATGTCATGTTTACATAAGAACAATTTGGCTGGAATCCTGCTGAGTTTCATGTAAAGGCTGACAATGTATTCATCAAGGATATTGATTTTTAATTTAAAGATTCCTACTCTAATCACCACCAAGTTCCAAGACCAGGGGTCCCATTCAACCTGAGAAACCTTTGGGAGCCTTGGAAAAGAGGGGAGCCTTGAATGCCCCAAAATCACCACTGCTGGACCCAGGCATCAGAAAGCTAAGTGTGGCAACTGCCAGCCTAAATGGGACTTACTTATCCAGTATCCACTCAATTTCCAGTTTAACTTCTAAAATATTTGAGATTCAAAAGTGTCTATCTCAGATTCCTGAACCAAGCTTAAAACAACTGCTTGCTCTAGGCACACAAGCCCCCTTGGAATGCCATGAATTTCACTGGTGGGCTCCAATAATTCTTGAGTCCAATTTGCAGGTGGATTTTCAAAAGCAGAATCCCAGATCTATTGGCAAAACCCAGGTTTAGTCATATTTTGACAGTAGCTGTAGCCTGGGGATGGATAATGCTGGCTATCAATACTATACTTTATGACTGATGTTATGTCAAGTGACCTATAGGAGCGCATATTATCCTTTGGCCCTTTTCAAACCAGAGATGGATAGTGAGATTCAGGAAAACCCAGCTGTGTTCCTATCAGCTCTTGATACAAACAGTTGAAAAGTCCTTTGAGTGCCAGGAATGGGAAAATAGTATAACTGGCATTATCACAGATAGCAGGGGTGGCTTACTTTGCACAGGATTATCAAGAAGTACATACAGTGCCAGACAGCTTAGCAGGTATCATGTTTAAGGTGAGTAGAAGAAGGCTACTTACTAGGTATAAACTGAACTTCTCAGGCTCTAATGAAACCATGGATAATCAGTGCAAATATTTTGAATCAGTTATACATAAGTACAGTATATAATTAATGCAATTATGGATTGTTCTGTGGTTCTGCCAGGAATATTTGCAGAT